CTGAATGGTGCTAACTTTGAATGGGTAGATACTTTGAACAAGGCAATCTCAAATTATCAAGGGAAGCCTATGAAAGAGAAAATCTGGTTGCTGGTGAATGGTGCCGTGGATTCTGGCATTGTTGGTTTGTTGAACTGTTTAAAGCAGGAACCAGGTGGAAATAGAATTAGGTAATTCTATTGATTTGATTTGTTTTCCACATTGTATTGCACCACTTGTCTTATTTTGTAAATGTATAACCTTAGCCATCTATGCATTCCGTCATGTAACAGTTCCTGACCTGTTCTAGCGATTGGCTACTACAGTATATTGTATATAGACGACGTACATTTTGTTTGCAAAGAAAAAATCATCAACAAATGAATATTCATGAAGTAGCACTAAATAATACACATTTGTGTATACTATTGATGTTGATTGGTGTTGATTATGAGTTTGAACCAAACGTCTTGTGGTTCCACTCTCGGGCATTGTGTAAATTGCTAAAAAGAAACAAATGTAAATGTTCTAAACAAAGCACATTGTCTATATGGATAACATGCGCCTTTTTTAGTTATTTCAGAACCAGTGTAGCTGTATATTAAATATTAATGTGTTATTTATGCTTTCATCGTTGCTTAACTAATGTTTGCCATGTGTTACTACACAGTTCATGAATTGTAATGTAGTATAATTTATCACATCTTCACAGATGCATATTCAATGCTAGTCTGGAGAATGACGCCAAACTACTAGACCTGGGGGACAAAACATTGAAAAAGATAATGCATCAAGACTTAGTGATGAATATTTACCGTGATGGCGAATGGGGATCATTTCGTCATGTACCATTCAGCACTTCCACTAAATCCAGCACTATCCTGACACCACATGCATATGTTAACGTATTGACACGTGGGGATCTCAGTTCACTGAAATGGATCGAATCACCTATGAAATATGCAACCCCAGAATTCATTGGTCAGAGCAAGGAGATTTGTAATGTTTATTACGCATCTCTTAATTTCCGAGACATCATGTTGGCCACCGGTAAACTACCTCCTGATGCTCTACCAGGTATGGTGAACAACTATAATCAATATGTGCACAATTAATATTATTTGTATGGGTATTTTCTGCTGTGTGATCAACATTCACAGTAATTGTACATTTCTTTATACATGACAGTGCAATTTTCATCCACATCTCGATACAAACACAAACTCACAATATTTAAATAATAACTTAATATTAAGCTTAATGTTGTTTATCTAGTGGACTGAATATAAGTAAAGAAAAATTAAATATATTTGATATGTGTAAATCTTAATTTATAAAAACCACATCATCCATATGCAGAGATTTCAATCAAAGACTAATCAGATCTGCATATTATCTGAGAGCACATAGGCATCCGATTTCATTTACATCTGACATTGTTTCTTTAGCAGTGAAACAGTACATCTCCAAACACAACTACAAATTATCGACTGTGCTTCTATGTTTACGAATGCATATTTTGTTTTGCACTTTTAGCTAATATTGCTTCTTACGATTGTGTATTGGGAATGGAATTCTCTGGTCGTAACACTGCAGGCCAGCGTGTGATGGGACTGGTAACTGCTAAAGGTCTAGCAACCACAGTGAGTGTTGATAAAGACTTCACCTGGGCTATACCGCAGTCATGGACTATGGAGGAGGCTGCCTCAGTTCCTGTTGTCTATGCGACCGTATACTATGCACTGATTGTCCGAGGGCAGCTGAAAAAGGGAGAGAGTGTTCTAATACATTGTGGATCAGGTGGTGTTGGACAGGCTGCCATTTCCGTGGCCCTACATCAGGGGTGTCAAGTATTCACAACAGTTGGTAAGACTCTTTTTCTTACGCAATGACATAACAGGTTGCACAAGATAAAATATGTTTATGTGTTCGAGATTTATTTCCTCAGGTTCCCAGGAAAAGAAGGATTACATAATGAAAAGATTCCCAGAAATGAATGAAGAACATTTCGGTAATTCAAGGGATTCCACTTTTGAGCAGAAGATACTGATAGCCACTAAGGGAAAGGGTAGGTGTATGCCAACTTATGTAACTCTTTTTATTTTATTTATACATTACCATATATATAAATACATAAACCTATCCCATCAAAAGAGTACAATTTCTACACAAAAACCATGGTAACGAGATATTTATAAGAATACGACTTGTGTAACTCTGAAAAAGACATTTGACTCATTGAAGAATGTGCAAAGCATTCAGTATAACACCGAATTTAACACAGATGTTTATTTATTTTGCATAGTATATACTGTGTTTATTCTACTCATATCGCATGACAAAGTCGTGTACTATTTTGAGTGCTATGTGCTATTAGAGATGCGCTTCCAATAGAGCAAATACGTCGATTCACCGTATAACAATCTTGTTTTGTATGCTGTAAACTTGCATGTTCCTTTGTTTTGTAGGTGTTAACGTTGTTTTAAACTCCTTGGCTGGACAGAAGTTACAGGCAAGCACCAGAATACTGGCACGTCATGGTCGATTCCTGGAAATTGGCAAATATGATCTTTCCAATAATTCACCACTGGGTAAAATTAACAATGTATTATGTTTGGATCACTATTATTTACATCAATATTTGAAAATCACTATGAGTGATATGACACAGCCAGTGTTGAATTTCCAAATTGTATGTCTGTGTCAAATTCTCGCCATTGAATACTAGCGTTGTCACTCCTGCCGTGGATACAAGATGACGGTACATGAACAGATCTCGCTGCAAAGACAATCGAGCCCAGGAGTCGATGGTTGCTTTGACCGCCAGATCCAATCTCAATCACACTCTCAATGGTTACAAAAAAACATTTATTCACTCACTGGTTGCAGGTCGAAAGGTTTAGCTCCTGATTGAACTCGGGTGCATCGATCGACGCAATCATGGTCGGTGTAGAACGAATATGATAAACATCTAATATAAACATAATTCGATATCATTCACGATTAAAATTGATATGTTGAAAATATGTGCTATAAACAATAGATCACATTACGGAATATCAATGGAAACAGCGCATATATACAAGGTAGAATTTGGTACATTCAAACAAATGACAAAAAACAGGCCAACTAAAGAGGATTCTGTTTGAGTGTTAGGTGTTATGGTTGGGTAGCCAATCAGGCACAATCTTGTAAGTAGCTTCACATTTGACTCTGATTCAACTGTACGTGTTCGAATGAGTGTCTTAATCACATATACTCTGAATGTATATTCTGTTTACTTTAGGTATGTCTCTGTTTTTGCGTAATGTAACATTCCATGGTATCTTGCTGGATGCCCTGTTCGAAGGTGACAACCCAGACTGGCAGTTGGTTTATGATTTAGTCTCTCAGGGAATTGAATCCGGAGCTGTACAGCCACTGAAAACAACAGTATTTACACATGATAATGTTGAGGGCGCTTTTCGATTTATGGCACAAGGCAAACATATTGGTAAAGTGCTAATCCAGGTTGGTATTCGATTTATGCACGATATGGATTAAACATTTTCAGTAATTCTAAATGAACTACTGCATTATTCCTTCATGTTAGTTGAAATTTGCTATATAGTTTCTTTTGAAAACAGACATTGTTTGTAACAGACTGTTAAACTGTCAGATAATTGTTCTGTACAATATTAATAATAGTAATTTAAATGGAGATTCTGGTATGTTGTATTTGTTCCGACTGTGCATGACACGAACCTGTCATCTCTATAACAACGAACTTAAGAAAAACAAACATTTGTGTCAGTTTAATCTTTTTGTTTTTATTTGTAAGAGTGCACACCAACATAATTAAAAATACAAAAACATGATTTAAGGTAATTCTGAAATAAAAATGCAATACATTGTACATTAAAACAAATATTGCAATAAGAAACACTGTAGACAGATGCGCTACTAACCACACCACAGTCGCCCCACCGAAAAACAAAATTACATCTACACCGCCACACAACTGGATGGTAATTAAATAATCGAATCTTCTTAAGAGGTCAGAACTACATGTAATACTTCACCATTTTCAGTTTTCATAATTATCTTCTTCACCGACATTAAATAATTGTTCACAGGTTTGCAGGGAAGAATCGGGTTGTGTAACTGTGTCCAGCCCTGTACAAATCCCTGCAATATCACGTAGTGTGTGTCATCCCAAGAAAACGTACATTATAACTGGTGGTCTTGGAGGGTTTGGTTTGGAGTTAGCTAACTGGCTAGTTGAGAGAGGTAGGTGATTTTATTTGTTGATAATGTACATCAGGTTACAAATAAGAATATCTTTTCAGATTATAATATTGAAACAAAGAAATGGAAATGGATATCAAGTGTGATAAGTATGAATGGTCAGGGTATGCCAGATATATGGTCAGTCGTTCAGTTTTGATTTGAGAGGTTGCAATTCGGCCATCCCGAATTGGATCATCAATGAAATGTGTGCATATGTGCAACATTATATACGATACATGATCGTTCAAAAGCAACATTCAATGAAACAAAATGACTTAAAGTCAGTCTTATTAAGGGGTCAGTCATTCCTTCCAAAATCTGTATGAATTTATTCTCTTCTAGATATTTCAAACTAATTTTTCTAGCTACCCCATGGAAATAAAATGATGTATATTTAATGTACAATCTATGTAGCAAGTTTTGACAAAATTAGTTTATACAGACGCATAGACATCATTCTCGTTTTCGGATTGCTTCCTAATGGTGACTTGGGCACGCTTGGCTAGAGAAAACCTTCCATCTACAAAAATACAATTCAAATCATAATTTGGTGTTATTCATTTAAGAAAATAAAACTAAATAATTCAAATTACAATTGTTGGGTGGGTAGGTGAAACACTGCCAATTATTTCAGACAGTATTCACAGCATATATTGCTCAGTCAGTATCAAACCCATTAGACTTTTTCTAGTCAATAACAAATATCAACCTATAATTTTGTAGGAGCACTTCACCTTGTTCTGACGTCTAGATCAGGTATTCGCAATGGCTA